TGGGAAAACTTTACACACCGAGCACCTTTCCTTCTACCAGCATGGGTTATGTCCAGGGGCGGACTGACCATTTGGAAACTCGGGCACTGCCCGAGGGCCCGGGGTCAGTAGGGGGCCCCATGAGATGCCCCTGGTACCTTTTTCATAGGCTTTTTTGAGTTTGGGCAAGGACACAGGGGCCCCATGATCCCCTATTGCCCGGGGGCCCCATGAGTTGTCAGTCTGTCCCTGGTTATGTCATATTAGTCCAGGTTAGCAAGTGCAGATTTAAAAAAGATAATCTTGGTGACCCATTAAAACATGTAGTAATATGATGCACTAAAACAGGAGTCTACAAACTATTTATGCAAATGTCTAGTTTACTGTATTTGGGTTTTGGCAGGGCTAGACTGTGGCCAATGGAAGTAGAAAATGCCCTGGTTTCAGTGGGAGGAAACCATGCCCAATCATTGATTTAAGCAGGCAGAATAGTGCTCCATTGTTGGTATCAATTGGAGGAATAGTGCCCCAAGGGCTGGATAAAGGCAAGCAAAGAACCGTATCTGGTCCCTGGTCCACTGCACTAAGATGTGTGGCTGGACCTTGAAACCTATGGGGACCCACCTAGCTGAGGAATTGTGGAGTATATGGCGTACCTTGGCAAACTGTGGCCATGGCAACGTATTAGGTTGGAGTAAGGGAGAGATATACATAAAAAAAACAATAATAATGGCAAGAAAAAAATTCTCTCTACTTAAATTATATCTAAACCCAATGGCTAAAATATAAGCTTTACCAAGATAACATAATTACAAAATTAGTTTTGAGGGTCATTTACAGCTATGTGTTGTGGCACTGTTACTAAAATGCATGTTACATACAGTACATAGATGCCTTGGGATACCAATGATTTTGAATAGTACCACAATGGACTAAAGCAGGGTTTCACAACAAGGGTTCCTTCAGAGGTTGTAAGGGGTTTCTTGAGCAATGAGCAATTTCTGTTTCTCAGATAGGTTCCCTTTTAGCTATTTACCTGTAAGGAGGTAATTTTTTCCAATGTCCACAAGTATAAGGAGGATCACGTTAGTGTATCATAAGTTGTAGTTATAGTCAATTTAAGCAGGATTTCCCCAAGACCAGAAAGTTATTTTAAGAGTTCCTCTGTGTTGAAAAGGTTGAGAAAGGCTGCACTAAAGCAATACATATATGATGCAATGTGCCGCAAAGCATGGCAAGGCGCTATGGTGTGTTGGCAAACATTTTGAGACATTTCCAATTTTTTAGATGTTTTGGTACATTGGAAGCCTCTTCATTTCAAAGGGCTGCCTTAATGCATAATATAACATGCATGAATTGACAAACCACACAAATGTAAAAGGGCCCTTAATATTTTAAAACATGCAGTTTTTGTTAAAACAATACCTAGTGATCTTGCCATGAAGGTTTGGCCCTCCCATGAATGGTTGTTTAAGCACTTCCTGTCGTGGAGTTTTGCTTTGCTCCTGCATTGTCACTCTGTTGCATGGGAAAAGTGGCCACAACAACACATATTGGTAGGGATGGTCCGTCATTTTCATCATCAGGAACCTAGTCCCAAGCAATTATGTGCAATTGATCATGCATCAAATGTAGATTCACTGATCACTTTATTAGGTACATCTGTTCAATTGCTTGGTAACTCAATGCATGTAGGCAGCAGACGTGGTGGAAATGACTAGCTGAAGTTCAAACCAAGCATCAGAATGGGGAAGAAAGAGGATTTTAGTGACTTTGAACCTGGCATAGTTGTTGGTGCCAGATAGGCTAGTCTGAGTATTTCAAAAACTGCTGATCTACTGGGATTTGCACGCACAACCATCTCTAGGGTTTACAGAGAATAGTCCAAAAAAGAGAAAATTTCCAGTGAGCGGCAGTTGTGTGGACGAAAATGCCTTGTTGAGGTCAGAGGAGAATGGGCAGACTGGTTCAAAATGATAGAAAGGCAACAGTAACTCATGTCAATATGAACCAAAATCTCTGAGGAATGTTTCCAACACCTTGTTGAATCTATGCCATGAAGAATTAAGGCAGTTCTGAAGGCAAAGGGAGTCCAACCAGGTACTAGCAAGGTGTACCTAATAAAGTGGCCAGTGAGTGTAGGTAGACATTTGTGGCTTAAAGAGGTTGTTGGAGACCAGCAGCAATGGAATGCAAAAAAGAATGCAAAAAAAGGTTGAAACAGTATTTTCCTGGAAAAAAAACCCACACAAACGACAACTGTTTATGATTCACAGTGCTTTAGCAGATTAATTGCCATCCAGTTAGTGTTTAGATCTTCTTTAATCTTCACGGATGATATATCACATTCCACAACCAGCCTGTCAATAACATTTCTGATCAATGTAATTTACCTGCTGTTTGGGGAGATTAGTTTTCGAAAATGAAGCCCTCAATGTCAAGAAACTCAAACAGCCGTCTTTCTATAGACTCAAATAAAGAATATGCTGTCCCTGCCTCTGTTTATCATGGGGGCAATCCCTGTCAGGGAACATGGTCATGGTTGAAGATCTAATCATAGTTTATTACTGATGTCTGGACAGGCTCGCACATATACTGAATCCACTGGCCATTTTGTATGTCAGCAGAATTCATGCAGTTCTCTGATGGTGTGAAGACCCGTTATGATAGATGACTATAGCTCTTGTCAGATGGAAATTATAGTCAAGCAGGAACAGAAACATAGCCATATGACTGGTTAACTGATGCCGATGGGGCATAGAAAATATAATTACAATCAGATGTATGATCAATGTTGTAGATAAATCAAGTAAACAGATACTAAAATTAAAAATACACAAAGAAGTTAGTTAACCACTTGCCAACTGGGCACTTATACCCCCTTCCTGCCCAGGCCAATTTTCAGCTTTCAGCTCTGTCGCACTTTGAATGAGAATTGCGCGGTCATGCAACACTGTACCCATATGACATTTTTATCATTTTTTCTCAAACAAATAGAGCTTTTTTTTGGCAGTATTTAATCGTCGCTGGGTGTTTAATTATTTGCACTATAAACAAAAAAAAACAACCCTGCCTCTTAGATTGTAAGCTCCCAGGATAAGGCCCTCCTAACCTTCTTGTATTGAACTGTATTGTCTCCCATTATATTCTAAAGTGCTGAGCAAACTGTTGGCGCTATATAAATCCTGTATAATAATAATAACAGAAACAAAGTAAAACTTTTTTGTTGTTATTATAAAATTTAGCAAACAGGTAATTTTTCTCCTTCACTGATGTGCGTTGATGAGGCTGCACTGATAGGCAGCATTGATGAGGTGGCATGGATAGGTATCACTGATGGAAACTGATAGGTGGCACTGATGATGCTGCACTGATATGCAATAATGATGGGCACTGATGGGTGGCACTGACTGGTGGCACTGATGGGCAGCAGTGATGGGTGGCACTGCTGGGCACAGGTGGATGGCACTACTAGGCACTAATGGGCACTGCTGGCACAAGTGGGCGGCACTGGTGGGTGGCACTGCTGGGCACTGATCATCAGTGCTCTGATGATTGTTGCCGATCCGTCCTCTGACAATTGCCAGTTCTCGGCAGTACTTTTGTCACACTGTGACAGCATGAGGAAAGTGCAGCCGATAAAAGGCAGCTGCATTTACCGGTAATCTGCTGTGTCATTGGACACAGCTGATCATGTGGTAAAAGGCCCATGTGACTGGCATTTTACCACATCACGTGATCAGCTGTGTCCATAGGACATGGAGATCACCGGGGGGTGCGTTCTGTGAGGACATCATATGATGCCCTCCCAGAACTAGACAACCACGCTGTAGACATCATTCGGCTATAGCGCGGTTGGCAAGTGGTTAAGAATAGTGATAATTGATCTTCATGACGAAGTAAAAACAAAAGAGTACATGGGTGAGCAAAGAGTACTGTATTATTTTCAAACTCTTGGTAGCAAGAAGTAGAAATTGACAAAGGCAAATTATTTACACTTTGGGGTTGCTCTACTAATTCTTAAGGTGACTTAAAAAAAGCACTTCTTGGGAATATAGTTGTCTCATTGACATAGTTTGGGAAGACTTGTTGCATTTGGATCTATTTGTCAACCAAAATTTGATAACTTTCCCCCAAGATTCAAAATGCCATTTTTAAAACATTTCAGTCTTGGGTGAAAGTTGTATGAATCTTGGGTGAAAACATCAATCAATGTTGTTCCCCACCAAATGAGTTCCCTGGTGCACTTAATATATAGAAAAAGATGCAGGGGCACTCTTTGTGTCAGATGTATTGCAGACTCTTGACTTTGCTAAAGTCATCTAAACCCCATCACCAAAATCACCTGTAACTTTAACCCCTTCCTGCCCAGTGTCATTAGTAGTGTCAGTGCTTTTTATTAGCACTGATCACTGTATTAGTGTCATTGGGATGCCAGAGGCAGTTAGTCAGTTCCCAGTGTCAGAATTCCTGCCGCAGTCCAGCTATAAGTCACTGATCGCCACCATTACTAGTATGAAAAAAAATTCCAGTATATATACCTCCATTTTTATAACTTTCATGTAAACCAATTAATTTACATGTATTGGGAATTGTTTTTAGCAAAGACATGTAGCATAATGCATTTTGGCCTAAATCTATGACAAAATTTTATTTTTTTATTTTTTTTACTGAATATGTTTTATAGCAAAAAGTCAAAAATATTGTTTTGTTTTTTTTAAAGTGTTGGTCTTTTTTTGTTTATAGAGCAAAAAATAAAAAGCGCAGAGGCGATAAAATACCACAGAAAGAAAGCTCTATTTGTGGTAAAAAAGGACATACTTTTAATTTGGGTGTAGCGTTGCATGACTGCGCAATTGTCAGTTAAAGTAATGCAGCGCCATATCACAAAAAATGGTCTGGTCAGGAAGGGGGCATAAGTCTTCTGGAGGGCAAGTAGTTAACATGTCAATGATATCTCAAAATTCATTTTCATACATTTATTTCTGCAGCATTCATTAAAATAATATCTGGTGGTACAGGGGCGGACTGACAACTCATGGGGCCCCCCGGGCAATAGGGGATCATGGGACCCCTGTGTCCTTGCCCACACTCAAAGCACACCCAAAAAAGCCTATAAAAGGTACCAGGGGCATTTCATGGGGCCCCCTACAGACCCCGGGCCCTTGGTCAGTGCCCGAGTGCTCGAATGGTCAGTCCGCCCCTGTGGTGGTCCACCATGAAGGTCCTTGTTCAAGCAATTCATACTAATGGGTGCCTACTGTCTCTCAATTGCCCTCCTGTTTTGTTATGTCACATGCACCTTTGGTGGAAATTACAAGTAGGCATGCTGAACCACATTGCACAGACATGATCAACAGTTGTTACCGTCAATCCATAGCATTGATGTGCAGCTGAGTCCGGAGTGAGGGCATATAGACAAGAAGTGGCTGAAATAGATTGGAGTGGGTCAACAGCTTTGAGATGCAAGAAGGATGAAAAAAAAAGTAAAAAACAGTATTTGATGGAAAAAGGGACACATTTGCCTGCTCAGCAGAATAAGCTGGAGTTTAAAGGGGTGCATACAGCCCACTGCCACCACTCTGCCAAAATCAATAATGGGCTGAAATCCACAGTGGTTGTACACACATCCAAGAGATACTCCTATACAGATTTGTATGTGTACAGGGATATATGGCTCAAATGTGGACTTTCTGCTCTGAGGGTGCACATTCTTGTATGCACATGGTCCTGGACATTAGTACCTCTCAAATGTGTGTACAGCCGCTACATATTTCAGCCTGTCATTGATTTTGACAGACTACTGGCAGTGGGCTTTACGCACCACTTTGTTACTCCTGGACACCAAAATCTGCCTGTTTTTCTCCATGTGGGCAAATGTGTTCGTGTGCAAGAGCCCAAAAAAATGTAAATGGCTTATAACACCGTGCTTTAGCCAGCTATACATGTTATCCTAGTAGGGTTCAAAGGTACTTTGAAGCCTAAATCTCATGTGAGAATAAAGTCTTTGATTCTGTCTCTAAAAATCTGTGATATATGTGACATCTATGGAGCCCACCTTCTTAATAAACATAGCAACAAAAATTAAAGTATATGTAAACCCTCACCTTGTAAAACAATCCACTTAGTTTAAAATAGGAATGAAAGGCAAAACATTGTTTATAGATATTAAAGCATTATAAATACCCTTTTTCATAAGTGATTACATTTTTTCAGCCGCATAAGAGCTGGGGGAGGAGAAACAGTAGAACACTAAACTTGCCAGTAAATGGCTGTACAGGGGAGGTGTGTCAGGACCAGTTTAATCATTGGAGGAGAGCACAGATAGAGAACTGACCATGCTGTGCTCTCAGCTTAGTGTGGTCAGTTTGTAATGGAAAAGCAGAAGGACTGGCAGGAACACCAGGGATTCACACAAGGGAATCAATACAAAGAGAACAGGATATTTTTCATACAAGTAGATGGTACAGCAGGCACATATCAGGAATATGAAATGTTGGGGTAAAGATGAACCAAAGTCCCACTATTAAAAACTGTGAGCAGTCATTCTCTTTATTGTAGAATAGACATTGCGGGGTTTATTTACTAAAGCTGGAGAGTCCAAAATCAGACTCCCTTCTGCATAGAAACCAATCAGCTTCCAGGTTTCATTGCCAAAGCTTCATTGAACAAGCTGAGGTTAGAAGCTGATTGGTTTCTATGCAGAAGGGAGTCTGATTTTGGACTCTCCAGCTTTAGTAAATAAACCCCGCAATGTCTATTCTACAATGAAGGAACCCTATCAAGAATATGAAATGTCAGATTTACATATTTTTTAAACACTGTTGTGAAAGTGCATTAAGTGCCATCATAGCTTGGTCACTCTTTTTTCTGCCTCTTAACAGCCCTCCATATTAACCTATGTGTCCATGCACACATTTACAGGACTTCAGAGGCAGAAAAAAAAAAGACTTGCGCATTCAAAAGAGGAGTATTTGGCCCAAAAAAATATGCAAAGGCACATAAAAGCACATTAACACGTGTTAACGCCAGGCTCGTTTATGCAAATGTGTGCGCTCATGCGTTAATATATTCTAATAGCCAGAATAAATGAATATTCTGGTCAAAATGCACGTGAACCTGCTTTTGCCACATATTTTCTGTTGATTTTCTCCTATAAGGAGAAAAGGCATCTAAAAGAATACAGTGTGTATGTGACCTTAATGAGTGGACATGCTCGCTTGGACATGAGTTGAGAACCTTTTATATTGTACACTGCTGCTGGGTTTCACTGGGTATGTTTTATAATGATAACTAATTTGATTTCCACTTGATGAATATGGCTTTACCGAAACAAGTATACATTGGTTATCAAGGCATTCAAGCAACCCAGGCAGTATTTTTTTTTTACTTGCTTATAATCTTTTATAAATGAACACGCCTTAAAGAAATATGCAGTGCAATTGTTTTTACCACAGTTGGTTTGCCATGAAAATTGGTCTTTATATTAAGCTGACTTGCGCCGTTCTTGAAGCAGAAGAGAAATAAATGAGTTGCATGGTGGAGCGCATAATGTGCACACTTGTGTTTATTTAGAAGGAATAAATGATTAGCATAGAATAACAGGTCTGAAGCCACCTACAACTGCTGAATTAATCACTAGCTACCAGCCAGCTAATACTTCCCTCTTAAACTGTCGTGTCGTATGTTTAATTCCTAAAAGGATATATGTGATTGTAAAATGGATAATTGATAAAAGCACTTGGTGTTGAATATCAATTTCCTGCCACCTATAATACAAAGCATTTCTTAATATCCATATATTGACCAATCGAAGTAATGCTAATAGAGAGATCAACTTTTTATTAGGTAAAGCTGAAGTTTAATCTGCCTATATTTTGCCTTTCCTGGTTCCTCCTTTCTCTCTTCATCAATATTATATGATTTTTGTTTAAATGTTTCTGTTCTCATTGCTGCTGCATCCTGATGCTTCTTTCTTATTGCCAATAATGGAAATTTTGCTTTGCAGGGATGCAAAGAAACTGTGATTCAATCATTTGGGACAAAGCGCTATTTACTTACACAGAAGAGTCTGACAGGCACTGCCACCTGTCAGACTCTGCATGTAGCACTGAAATTGCTGTGATGTAAAACATTGCTTCTGCAACAATGTCTATGCATCTGAGTAACACCATGTCATCTTGTGGATCAACCATCAGTTTTGGCCCCTTTCACACGAGCTGACCAATTGGGTCCATCTGTCCGTTTTTCAGGTGGACTCACTCAGACCCACCATTGTTCTCTGTTCATTTACATTCCATGTCCATTTATATCTAGGGTTTCCACCTCATCACTTTAAAACACATATTACACAGGTCCTGTGGCTGACTAAGGTGGTAATTAAACTTACTTGATGCCTTATCTGCATTACATTAGCCTCAGAACCTGTGTAATTAATATGTGTTTAGGTTTAAAGGGATGAGATGGCAACAATATTTACATCCGACCTCCCATTGAGGAGAGCTGGCTGTGTCTGTATCTGATTTGCATATGCGGATTGGACACAGACCAGCCATCTGCTCAATGGGGATCAGCGGACAGGTACCCTGCCGAGGACTCCAACAGAGCCCATCCTATGTGGAAGGGGCCTTTATCTTCTCATAGCCACCTGTATGAAAGGAGCCTTAATTTGGCCACATCCAAGTGCCTATCATCATCTTGCATTGCATAAGTACACTGATCAACCATACCATTATGATGATCCACCTAATTTTGAGTAGTTTCCCCCCTTTTTGCCACCAAAACAGCCCTGACCCATCAAGGCATGGACACCACTAGACTTATTAAGGTATGCTGTGCTACCTGGTACCAAGTTGTCAATTGCAGAACCTTTAAGCCCTGTAGGTTTTGAGGTGGGGTCTCAATGAATCAGTCTTGTTTCCCAGTACATCCCACAGATGCTTGATTGTATCTGGAGAATTTGGACATTACGTCAACAACTCAAACTCCTTGTGTTGTGTTCCTCAAACCATTCTTGAACCATTTGTGCAGTGTGGTAGGGTGCATTATCCTGCTGAAAGAGGCCATTGTCTTCAGGAAATACTGTTTCCATGAAGGGGTTTACTTGATCAGCAACAATGTTTAGGTAGGTGGTATGTGTCAATGTAACATCCACATGATTGGCAGGACCAAGGTTTCCCAGCAGAACATTTACAAAAGCATCACACTGCCTCCGTTCTTTCTTCCCATACTGCATCCTTGTGCTATCTCTTCCCCAGATAAGAGACACACACCAGCTGCCACATGGTGTAAAAGAAAACATGATTCATCGGGCCAGGCCAAGCCAGTTTTTCTTTCATTGCTCAATGGTCCAGCTCTGATGCTCGCATGTCCTTTGTAGGCACTTTTGGCTGTGTACATGGGTCATCCTGACCCATCTGTGGCTACACAGCCCGATACACAACAAACTGTGCAAATTTCTTCTGTTCTCAACACATCAACTTCAGGGACAACATATTAACTTCCTGCCTAATATATTCCACCTACTTTCAGATGCCATTTTAATGAGATAATCAATGCTGTTTGCTTTATCTGTCAGTGATCTTAATGCTATGACTGATTGTTGTATGTATGTACTGTATGGTTTCAGCAGAGTTCTTCTTTAGGAAGATATTCATTCATGCATTTGACATAAACTTGCATCTTGTCATATGAACAGTGTCAAAACCACTCTGTAAACATCTGCAGACATCAGCCAACGGTAATATTGCCTGATAATTTTCAAAATGTCAGATCCTTACTACAACTGACTCACCCGCTTTGCTTTCTTCTACATCATTGTTGTCATGATTAGCACTTAGCTCAGCTATTACAGTGCAACCTACATTAATCCTTTTCCCAGAAAACTGCAAACAAAAAAAAAAAATTCAGCAAATTCATTTTAATGACATTAAAAGGAGTATAATTCTTCTGTGGCAGCCACAATTATTTTTTAGCAGCAGTCGGAGAGGCTCCAGTGTTTACCAGAAAACATAAATGGGGATTATTCAGAGACATTATGTCGTCTTTTTTTTTTCAAGTGCTTTAGACATGGCTACCCTCCGTACCCTGCTAGATAAAACCCAAACAAAAATGGGCATTATACTGAGAATAATACAGATGGAGAATTTCTCTGCTTAGCATTGTACAGTGAAGCTATCAGTTAGCCAGTTAATTGTATGATAAATTTGTTTCT